GACGGTCTTGTTCCTCTTCTTTCTCTCTTCTCATATTCTCCATAAAATCGCCCAATAATTTGCTTACTTCCTCCATTTTCTTCGCTTGCTCCCTTGTACCAACCATAGAAATACTTAAATTCGGTCTAAAAATCTTCCAATCCACTTAATTTCTTCTTAAAATCCTCTTGAATCGCACTTCCGACACCAATTGTTACGGATTCCGTGGGTCCACTAATTTAAACTCACGATAAAATACTTAACGAATTTATTTTCTCACTTTATACACAATTACTATGTTTATCACATTTCACCGACGATGTACTGATTTCTTTCGAAAATCGACATCTATGAAACTATGAAACCTTCCTGGACACAAACGGTACATTGTGAAACAGGAAATTGTAGAGAGTAACAAGCCCTATAACACAGGATACAACATTTTAATGAACAGTGCTTTCCATAAAATCAATAAAATGAAAAATATAGGAAATAATATACAGGTACTGATTTCTTTCTCCAATCGACATCTATGAAACTATGAACCCTTCCTGGACACAAACGGTACATTGTGAGACAGGAAATTGTAGAGAGAAACAAGCCCTATAACATAGGATACAATATTTTAATGAACAGTGCTTTCCATAAAATGAATAAAATGAAAAATATAGGAAATAATATACAGGTACTGATTTCTTTCTAAAATCGACATCTATGAAACTATGAACCCTTCCTGGACACAAACGGTACATTGTGAGACAGGAAATTGTAGAGAGAAACAAGCCCTATAACATAGGATACAACATTTTAATGAACAGTGCTTTCCATAAAATCAATAAAATGAAAACTATAGGAAATAATATACAGGTACTGATTTCTTTCGAAAATCGACAACTATGAAACTATAAACCCTTCCTGGGCACAAACGGTACATTGTGAGACAGGAAATTGTAGAGAGAAACAAGCCCTATAACATAGGATACAAAATTTTAATGAACAGTGCTTTCCATAAAATCAATAAAATGAACAATATAGGAATTAATATACAGGTACTGATTTCTTTCGAAAATCGACAACTATAAAACTATGAAATAATATACAGGTACTGATTTCTTTCGAAAATCGACAACTATGAAATTATAAATCCTTCCTGGACACAAACGGTACATTGTGAGACAGGAAATTGTAGAGAGAAACAAGCCCTATAACATAGGATACAACATTTTAATGAACAGTGCTTTCCATAAAATCAATAAAATGAAAAATATAGGAAATAATATACAGGTACTGATTTCTTTCTAAAATCGACATCTATGAAATTATGAACCCTTCCTGGACACAAACGGTACATTGTGAGACAGGAAATTGTAGAGAGCAACAAGCCCTATAACATAGGATACAACATTTTAATGAACAGTGCTTTCCATAAAATCAATAAAACGAAAAATATAGGAAATAATATACAGGTACTGATTTCTTTGTAAAATCGACATCTACGAAACTATGAACCCTTCCTGGACACAGACGGTACATTCAAAGAATCAATAAAATGAAAAATATAGGAAATAATATACAGGTACTGATTTCTTTCTAAAATCGACATCTATGAAACTATGAACCCTTCCTGGACACAAACGGTACATTGTGAGACAGGAAATTGTAGAGAGAAACAAGCCCTATAACATAGGATACAACGTTATAATGAACAGTGCTTTCCATAAAATCAATAAAATGAAAACTATAGGAAATAATATACAGGTACTGATTTCTTACTAAAATCGACATCTATGAAACTCTGAACCCTTCCTGGACACAAACGGTACATTGTGAGACAGGAAATTGTAGAGAGAAACAAGCCCTATAACATAGGATACAACATTTTAATGAACAGTGCTTTCCATAAAATCAATAAAATGAAAAATATAGGAAATAATATACAGGTAATGATTTCTTTCGAAAATCGACAACTATGAAATTATGAATCCTTCCTGGACACAAACGGTACATTGTGAGACAGGAAATTGTAGAGAGAAACAAGCCCTATAACATAGGATACAACACTTTAATAAACAGTGCTTTCCATAAAATCAATAAAATGAAAAATATAGGAAATAATATAAAGGTACTGATTTCTTTCTAAAATCGACATCTATGAAATTATGAACCCTTCCTGGACACAAACGGTACATTGTGAGACAGGAAATTGTATAGAGAAACAAGCCCTATAACATAGGATACAACATTTTAATGAACAATGCTTTGCATAAAATCAATAAAATGAAAAATATAGAAAAGTTAGTGTTTAAGAATTTTTCAGAAATTCTTAAACACAAAAAACAATCAAAATCAAATAGAAAATAAAAACATTAAAAAAGATACACGATATATTGCGCTCCCCTTCGTAAATGGGTTGTCTCAACAATTACAAGGGTTACACAAAAAGTATAATATAACGATTTGTCATAAAGCACATAACTTGTTAGCTAATAATTTCTCTAAACTAAAATCTGTAACACCGTTAAACAAACGAAGCAATGTTATATATGAAATTCCATGTTCGAACTGCGCCCAAGTTTACATAGGACAAACTTCTCAATGGTTAGAAAATAGACTGAAAGGGCACAAGTATTATAAAAAAATGTAACCGCCCTCACAAATCATGTGTCAACAGAAAATCATACATTCGATTTTAATAAAACTAAAATTTTAAAAACAGAAAATCACCAAAAAAAGAGAGAATTTTATGAAATGGTGGAGATACAAAAAAACAAAAACGCGGTAAATGAAAAAAGACCTAAAAATCTAAGCAAAATATATCTGTCGATCCTCTAACGCACTAAGAACAGTAGACATCGGGTATTGAAACGATAAATACGTACGTGCTCTATAGTAAAGTGTAATGTCCAAAAACAATTAAAAACAATAGTTAATATGTGTTATTGTGTTGTCCAGTTTAACAAATTTTAACTCTGTAAGAATCTACGTTCAAGGTAAGACCTTTTAGTTTGACATTTTATCTTACTGATTTTAACTGACTGTTTTTATGTGCTTAAAGAGGCTTGAAAAAGACATATACTGTCGAAACGTCGTCACAAAATAAAAAAATAATGAACAAAATCTAGAAACATCTTTGCAACCCCAACGACCTAAAGCCAAGAGTGAAAACAAAAAAAAGAAATAATATACAGGTACTGATTTCTTTCTAAAATCGACATCTATGAAACTCTGAACCCTTCCTGGACACAAACGGTACATTGTCAGACAGGAAATTGTAGAGAGCAACAAGCCCTATAACATAGGATACAACATTTTCATGAACAGTGCTTTCCATAAAATCAATAAAACGAAAAATATAGGAAATAATATACAAGTACTGATTTCTTTCGAAAATCGACAACTATGAAACTATAAACCCTTCCTGGGCACAAACGGTACATTGTGAGACAGGAAATTGTAGAGAGAAACCAGCCCTATAACATAGGATACAACATTTTAATGAACAGTGTGACCATAAAATCAATAAAATGAAAAATATAGAAAATAATATACAGTTACTGATTTCTTTCTAAAATCGACATCTATGAAACTATGAACCCTTCCTGGACACAAACGGTACATTGTGAGACAGGAAACTGTAGAGAGAAACAAGCCCTATAACATAGGATACAACATTTTAATGAACAGTGCTTTCCATAAAATCAATAAAATGAAAACTATAGGAAATAATATACAGGTACTGATTTCTTTCTAAACTCGACATCTGTGAAACTCTGAACCCTTCCTGGACACAAACGGTACATTGTGAGACAGGAAATTGTAGAGAGAAACAAGCCCTATAACATAGGATACAACATTTTAATGAACAGTGCTTTCCATAAAATCAATAAAATGAAAAATATAGGAAATAATATACAAGTACTGATTTCTTTCGAAAATCGACAACTATGAAACTATAAACCCTTCCTGGGCACAAACGGTACATTGTGAGACAGGAAATTGTAGAGAGAAACAAGCCCTATAACATAGGATACAACATTTTAACGAACAGTGCTTTCCATAAAATCAATAAAATGAAAAATATAGGAAATAATATACAGGTACTGATTTCTTTCTAAAATCGACATCTATGAAACTCTGAACCCTTCCTGGACACAAACGGTACATTGTGAGACAGGAAATTGTAGAGAGAAACAAGCACTATAACATAGGATACAATATTTTAATGAACAGTGCTTTCCATAAAATCAATAAAATGAAAAATTAGGAAATAATATACAAGTACTGATTTCTTTCGAAAATCGACAACTATGAAACTATAAACCCTTCCTGGGCACAAACGTACATTGTAAGACAGGAAATTGTAGAGAGAAACAAGCCCTATAACGTAGGATACAACATTTTAATGAACAGTGCTTTCAATAAAATCAATAAAATGAAAACTATAGGAAATAATATACAGGTACTGATTTCTTTCGAAAATCGACAACTATGAAACTATGAACCCTTCCTGGACATAAACGGTACATTGTGAGACAGGAAATTGTAGAGAGAAACAAGCCCTATAACATAGGATACAACATTTTAATGAACAGTGCTTTCCATAAAATTAATAAAATGAAAAATATAGGAAATAATATACAGGTACTGATTTTTTTCGAAAATCGACAACTATGAAACTATGAACCCTTCCTGGAAACAAACCGTACATTGTGAGACAGGAAATTGTAGAGAGAAACAAGCCCTATAACATAGGATACAACATTTTAATGAACAGTGCTTTCCATAAAATCAATAAAATGAAAAATATAGGAAATAATATACAGGTACTGATTTCTTTCTAAAATCGACATTTTAATATTTTATTGTCTAAAATGCCGTTTGTATGGATTAATACCTGTTAGGCAATAAAGTTATTATTTTTATTATAAGAATCAGCAGAAATGGTAAGAGGGTTGGAGAAAATTTTATTTTTGCAGACTAGTGTAATTTGTTGGAAAATTACTTTAATTTAATATACCTACTTCTAAAATCGAATGAAGATGCGTATCTTCTAACAGAGCTAAGAGATGAGGTCTCTCCTGAGGTTGGGACTCCTGCAGACAGTAAATGTCATCTAAACGGTCCATGATAGTCGACACAGCTAAAAAAGGTGTCAAATAATTTAGAATGTTCTTTTCTTATTTTATGAAGAAGATTTCTCATATCATTTTTGATTATCTTCTGTCAAAATCATACATTTTTTTGCTGGACAGACTCCACCTATTAATGAAACGTATTTTTTAGACCGTGTCATATGACAGTGACAAAATAGTGTAAATATTTAATATCTAAGAAATATTACCAGTAGATGTGACCTCGTCGTCCCCAAAATCACACACAAAATCATCAGCAACAGTCTCGTCATAATTGTACCATTTACTCGAATTCACAGCATTCAAAACGCAAGTTTTCAATTTTCTTCTATTGTTATACTTTTTCATTTCCTCTATAGTGTCATTCAGATGTATTCTCAAGGCTTTGTCGCGATCCTACAAAATAAAACGTTTGATAAAACACACATTTAAATATGTAATGAAGTTCATAAAAATTTCTAGGACACCCTGTATATTGTGTTAATATTATACTAGAATAATAGAGACTTGATTCTCTTTTAATAATGACAGGCAGTGTATTTTATTGTTAACTCATTATTGTAATGAACTTCATTAGTGTTTCTATTGTTGAATTAAATAAGTTAAATATTTAATTGCCATTTTGTAAGAGAGTTTTGATCGGTTTTGGTCGCTGTGGTTTGGTGCGAGAAACCGAGACGTTTGCGCCGCTCTCCCTATCAGTGCAGGTTGAGTGGAGGGGAGCGTCAGTCGAGTACCTCGGCTACAGCAGCTCTAGAGAGACAGTTTGTGGTCGCACGCAAAACAGTGAGGTTCGAGTCCGGAGTGCCCTGCCAAGTGTCCTGCTGCCAGCCGCCTGTCGCCGCACTGTATAAGGTAAGCCCCACCGCAAAAGTGATCGAGGGTAGGTCGTATTATTTTTATTGTTATTAAGCGTTTACTCGACTACCTGGACGCGTTATAAGGATAAGGGAGTTAGTTGACGGGATTGTTAGGATATTAAAAGCGCGGGAGAACAACCGTTGCCAACCAGACAAGGAGGGACTACGTTGTGCTACCGGCAGGTCGCCAGGAATGATGTCCTTTTCTTTTAAAGGTTGTCTGACATCTGCTCCGGTCTGACGTGTCCTTCGGTTGATGAGACGAGAGTTCGTAGTTTTCTTCATTAATATTAAAATTGCCAGAATTGCCGAGCAGGCAAAAAGGGACTACGCTGTGCTACGGGCAGGTCGCCAGGAATGATGTCCTTTTTTTTAAAGGTTGTCTGACATCTGCTTCGGCTCAGTGTACCTCTCGGGGAAAGCTAATTACGGGCTAATAATTAATTCATCTTCTTAAGGGACAGTCAGGGTAGTTCAGTAAACGCACGTGTCGTGAATGTTCACGGAGCTACAACAAGACTTCGCCCAAATCCCGAGGCTGGTTTTGTAGCTCCCGTATTTTCTAGGTGTGTCGTCCGGACGGCACCCTGCATGAGTGACGCTGGACGGGATCTCGCCGAAATCCCGAGGTTGTCCTGACCGGGCGGTGTGTGTGCGGGCTGCGCTTAACCAAACGATGTACAACTCGCCGAGACGTCGCTAACATCTACGTCGATCCAGGGCTCGCGTTTGTGTATCCCTCGGGACGCTGTTAACTTCGCGATTGATCCAGGACTCGCGTTTGCGTATCCCACAGGACGCTGTTAACTTCGCGATCGATCCAGGACTCGCGTTTGCGTATCCCACAGGACGCTGTTAACTTCGCGATCGATCCAGGGCTCACGTTTGTGTATCCCACGGGACGCTGTTAACTTCGCGATCGATCCAGGGCTCGTGTTTGTGTCCCACAGGACGCTGTTAATTTCGCGATCGATCCAGGACTTGCGTTTGTGTATTCCGGGACGCTTTTAACTTCGACGCCGATCCGAGGTCCGTGTTTCGTTGTCAAAACGGACGCCGTTCGAGAAATATTTAGCTGTGACCATCGGGACGCCTGTAACGACGTCGCCGCCGTTTAGAGAGTCGCGTCATAGTAGAGTGTGTTACTCCGGTACTTATGGGTCTGTGTGCATTAGGACGCCGCTAGATTCAACGTCGATTAGGAACTCGCGTCGTTTTATTTAATAGAACGTCATTGCGGGAACGCGTTTTGAATTCACGGGATAGAATCAGTCAGAGAGTTACATATCGGGAATAATCGATCAAAACTCTAGAGGTACATGGTTGTTATTGTAAATTTTACTTTACGGGTCTTTAAATATACATTTTATTGTTACGATTCGAGGACGTGAACCTTCCTGGATTATTTTTGTACATAATTAATTAGTTAAATAAAAACCTAGTGTTGCGTTATAGTTTATTGTGTGTTTATATTATATTGTGTGTTTTATTTTCTTTTCATCTCATCACTCCCTGGTATCTCCACTGTATAAAAGCTACCCGTATTGGCACTAGTGGTCTCTCAAACACTTTAAACTTGGGGGTGGCGCCCGAGGAACCGAAACAAAGCAACTCGGCGTCCGTGACTTCTCTCAAAAACGGGGGAGCGTCACAAATAAAATAATGTGAACCAAATGTACTTAACTTACCCTCAACCACCTATGATTCAAAATTTCTTGTATAGTTATCCTTTGTTTGGGATCGACACTTAACATTTGCTGTACTAAATCCTTCGCACTATCGCTGATAAATTCCCACTGAGTTGCAGTGCTTAGCTGAAAAAATATAGTTTTTTAAGATAAATATTCATAAATCCTTAAATACAGGGTGAGTTTCCTAAGATGTTCTCTATGGGTATCTCGGAAAGTATTGGAGATAGAGAGTCGGTTGAATGGAGAAAGAATTGCAGTTTTGTGGGGTCATAAATATGCGCCTTTCAGATTTTTGAAAAAGTTCATGGCTTACTAGATATTTTGAAAAAAAAACAATTTTGGTTGTTTTAAAAATTGTCCCTAATATAATTATAATCTATTTTAGACAAAAAAATTTCAGATAAAAGTTGTAGATAAATACATCCGTAATGAGTTTGTGTTCTCCGATTTTTTCTAAAGCCTGTTATTTTTGACATATGACACAAACATATATTTTTTTAATGGAAACCATAGTTGGCCATGACTTCATAAAAAGCGCAATTTTTTAAGCTTTTCAGCGATATAAGCTATAATATGTTTTTTTCGGAAAATTACTGAGTTATAGCCAATTCTTATTTTTTTATTAATTTCACTTAGTTGGCATGGTGTTCTTATTTTGTTACGATTTATGACTTATAAAAAGACAGAATATTATCACTAAACGGTTGTTTACAATTTACATTAAACAAACTAAAACTTAAAAAAATAATATCACTACATACACTTTAAGTTATATTAGAAAATGTTCAAAAAATCCGCTATTGTTTTGAGTACATAAATGCATCTTTTTAAAACTGAATTACTAGCTTTTCTCACAGAACGACCGGTCGACTTAATCAAACTTTTCCCGTACCGCCTCTTCGAGTGCCTCTCTTAATTCATAAGTACTTTTGTAAACCTTGTTGTTAACCATACCGCATAAAACAAATCTAAAATGGATAGGTCAGGTGATCGAGGAGGCCATAATTATGATATAAATAATTTTTAACATTTCTTTCATTATGGGGTGGGGTCATAATGAAATTCATGTTGGAACCACTCTATTGATGAGCGATTTAACTTTTCTACGTCTTGAAAACCGTTCTCTAAAAAACGTAAGTAACGTTCACCGGTCAACGTATCCTCGAAAATGTATGGTCAAGAAAAGTTGAACCAATAATCCTACAGGCTTTTCTTCATTTGAAAAAATCATATTTACAATTTTTGTATATTTTAATTTACAAAGTTTGGATGTGACAGTTTCACATTTCTGAGAGGTACGACGATTGAACTTATTTCCATGGCTAACTAAGTGAAATTAGTCAAGAAGGATAAGAATTGGCTATAACTCAGTAATTTTTCGAAAAAAACATATTATAGCTTATATCGCTGAAAAGCTTAAAAAAGGGCGCTTTTATAAAGCCACAGTCAACTATGGTTTCCATTTAAAAAAAACATGTGTTTGTGTCATATGTCAAAAATGACAGGCTTTAGAAAAAATTGGAGAACACAAACTCATTACGGATGGGATTATCTACAACTTATATCGGAAAACTTTTTGTCTAAAATATATTATAATGGAATTAGGGAGAATTTTTCAAATAGCCAAAATTTGTTTTTTTTTCGAAATATCTAGTAAGCCATGAACTTCTTCAAAAATCTGAAAGGCGTATATTTATTACCCTACAAAACGGCAATTCTTTCCCCACTTAACCGACTCTCTATCTCCAGTAGTTTCCAAAATACCCATAGAGAACATCGTAGGAAACTCACCCTGTATAAATAACGTGGGAGAATACCTTTATAACCTTTTTATTTTTTTAGATAAAAAAGTCAGATTTGGTATGTAATAAATCAGGATTAATTGACGTATTCAATTACTTTAGGTCACTTCATGGTTTACCGAAAATTACTATAACTTTTGATTTTTAAATGGTATCCTCCGCATGTTTTTACTTTATTTAATAGAAAATTATATTCTGAATAGAATTACATATCATCGAGCATATCATAGATCAACTTTAAAGCTCCATTCAGAACCTCGCAATTAGTGGTTTCCATTAAACTTTATACTTTTTGGTTTACAATCATTCACAATGTTTAAAAAAAGGGTCTACCCTCACCCCTATATAAATTTAAGTATAAATGAAAATTTTAGAAAAACTACCGATCTATTTTCGTAAAATGGGTTTTCTAGTGTTTACTACATTTTTCTATCTTGTAAAATTGTCACCTCGCATAGTTTTTAAAAAAATATGTTTTTCCAAAGCTGACCTTATTCAGAACCTCGCAATTAGTGGAATAAATTAGTGGTTTCAATTACACTTCATACTTTTAGTTTACAATATTCACAATGTCTAACACAATTAAAATTAATAGAATATCCTAGCAACAGCTTGTGGTAGTCAGTTGTATCCAGAGAGAAAGCCTAATATTTAGCTTATGAAACAATCAACTTTTGATTTCTAACCACAATTTCTCTTGACGGAAGATAATCAAAGGCCAAAGTGACATTTCTCGAAAATTTTGAAGTATAATTAGTGGAAAAGTCAAAAGTTTGATAACTTTTTCTACTAATTGAAAATGTCTACCACTAATTTTGACGTTCTGAATGCTTACATTAAAATTAAAGGAACAAACTTCTACGCTAACCACTAATTTATTTCACTAATTGCCAGGTTTTGAATGAAGCTTTAAGTTTTTCGCTTAAAAAAATAGAATTTCGAGAGTGCCATAATAGCTGTGTTAAAACCATTAATTTTCAATCAAGGAGCCTACAGTTGATGGTCTAATTTTTTTCGTGGCGTTTCCTGGAACTTAAAAGATGTCCCAATTAGGGCATTCCATCCCGAAAGAAATGTTCAATCCCGGGATTTCGGGATTATAATTTTTCGATCCCGGGATTCACGAAAAAATTAATTACGTTGGAATTATAGTACATTTTCTTTCTTTACAAAATTTTATTGAACAAAAAAAACATTAACATAAATTAAACGTCAACCCCATTACAAAACAACATAACATATAAGTTTATTTAACAAAAAAAAAACATAAAAGGAACTAAAATATACATTTTTTATTTAATTTACATAACCAATCGAATACAGCATAACACAGGATTACTAAGATACTAATATAACAACTTATGCAGTAACAAAGATGAGAATCTAAACTTGGTTTTTTTGGTTTTTGAAAAAATTTCTTAAAAAAAACAAGCCGATCAAGAGTATTAATCACTCAAACTAGATCTTCATCATCTTCAAACTTGATCAAACATTCAGGGTTGTTTATAAGCGCATATTGTACTATCCTGAAAGACTTGTGTACGATTTAAATTAAAGAAAAAATGTAACGATGAATCCCGAAAATCCCGGGATTAAAGAAAAGACAATCCCGGGATTTCGGGATTGAAAAAATGTCCGGGATCCCGGGATTGAATGCCCTAGTCCCAATCACATTTTTAATCATAACTCATTTTTTTTTCAAATGAAACAAGACTGGATCATTAATACCGTATGATCGAGAAAAAAAAACAATCATTTTATATGGAATATTATACAGGGTGGTCCGAACTGTATTCCGGAAACTTCGGTGACATATTCTGCAGATAAAAATAAGTAAAAAAGTTCGTATAAATATATGTCCTAAAATGCTTAGTTTCAGAGATACAGGGTGTAGAAGTTTCAATTTTATTTCTATTTTTTCCAAATTATTTCTGAAGTAACGTCAATATTTGGATGAAAATTGGTGTCTGGGGGTTTTTTAATATGAGAATTTTGATTTTTATGTCAATATGACTCGTACTTGTAGGGGGCGCCACCTACATATTTTTAACTGGTTTCAAGAGTAATCACTTTTCGTCCGTACCTGTATAAAATTATTAAGTAAAAAATATACATTTATAGCGTTTTTTACGTAAAAAAGGTCTCTTTGTAAAAATCGCTACGAGTAATAATTCTCGAGATATTTGGAATCGAAATTATCAATACCTATTATCATTGACATAAATTAAACATGTCAACTAAATAGTTATTAGACTAAAATCATAAATTTAAAATGTTTTTGTGTCAAAAGTTCAACAGAAACTGTTTTATCATCATTTTTTCGCAGAAAAAATTATGATTAATTTAAAAAAATAAAAATTTCCGAAATTTATTATTTCAGTCAAAGAAGTATCTCCCCAACGTGTTTATTTTTTGTCAATAATGGCATGTATTGACTATTTACATTCTAAATATCTTGAGAACGGTTGCTCGCAGCGATTTTTACCAAGAGATATTTTTTACGTAAAAAGTCACGGATATGTATATTTTATCACTCAGTAGTTTTATAAAGGTACGGACAAAAAGTTATTATTCTCCAAAACAGTTAAAACACATACCCCCTACAAATAGGAGCCATATTGACATCAAAATCAAATTTCTAGTGTCAAAAAAACCCCAGATACCAATTTTCATCCAAATACTGACGCTACTTCAGAAGTTATTTGGAAAAAATCGAAATAAAAATGAAACTTGTACACCCTGTATCTCCGAAACTAAGCATTTTCGGACATACATTTATACGAACTTTTTTACCTATTTTTATCTACAGAATATGCTGCCGAAGTTTCCGGAATACAGTTCGGACCACCCTGTATAGGGAATGTCAATCAATCGTCGTTTCCTAGCCAACAGGACGCCGTTTTTTTCGATCATATGGTAATATTTCGAGTAAAATTGTCGTTATAAACACAGCCCTTAGAATGAAATTTAAAACACTATCTTTTTAGACAAAAAATCTCAGAGGTTGACATGAGATGTCATTCTATCAAACAAAGTAAAAAATACTGGAGGTGCCACTTAAAAATCAAAAGTTGTATTCATTTCCGGTAAAATAGGAAGTGACCAAAAATAATTAAATACGTCAATCCATCCTAATTTATGTCATATACTAACATACCAAATCTCGTTTATTTGTCTGAAAAAATAAAGTTATAGGGGTGAGTTACTTTTAAAAAACACCCGGTATATACACCCCAAGTAAAAATCTCCAAACAAGAACTTACTGATAATTTCCCTCTGCAAATAGCCTCGTACAATCTTCTGCCACTACCATGAAAGGGCAAAGTACCAGAGAGTAACACATGAAGGAGTACACCAGCAGCCCAAATATCCACTGCTTTCCCATATTGTCGCCTCTCCACTACTTCAGGGGCCATATATTGCGGACAACCTAGTCTACCTGAAAAACAAAAAGGAAACCATACTTATTGTACCAACGGTACCACACTGTGTATACATTTAATTGAATAGCCTGAATAAAACCTAAGAATGATTTTATTTGAATGTTTTGTATTATAACTATTGTGCCCCTATAAAATACAAACAATTACAGTGGCGGCTGATCACAAAGGATGCAATTATTTTAACATGATGAATTTTGTACAAAGGTTTAAAAAATTTAAAATTGTATACAGGGTGGCGCACCTCATTCGCCTCGGTTGATTATACGAAAACGGAAAGATGTAGAAACAAAATATTTTATGGGTATATGTGGGGAAACAATATGCACAATTTAAAATTATTTTGAAATATACAGGGTGTTTCAGAACTAAGATCCATACCAAATTTATATTTTTTCGTATGAAACACCCGGTATTTTATTTCATTTTTGGATTCTTGGGCCCAAAAAAAAAGGCATTTATTATAAGGATTAAATATGTTTAAAATCTTTAGTTTTTGAGATATTTAAAGATATTAAAATTTGCACACTACAATAGAATAGACTATTAACACCCTGTACATTACTTTTCAGAATTAATTCTTATGCTGAGTTTAAAGGTAGAGAAATACACTTTACTGAAAAATGGTATTGGTTCCTTAAATTTATACAGGGCTATCAAAAGTTGCTGATCTATTTTAAGGATATATTTTATATAAAAACTTCGTTATTTCAAATGCAACACCCTGTATTTTTTTAAATAAATCTAAGCAGATTCAAATGCTCTTTCAAACTATATTAGGGATATGGTATAAATTTCCTATACCTATCTAGCTCGGATTTTGAATAAAAAGCGATTTTTAAATAAAATTGCTATCAAGATGGCTGGTGTCGCCATGGCAATTTTCTAGTGACAGTTAGTAACTATTTTCAAAGTCGACATTAGTTTATGGACATTATTATTTATAAATTATAACAGTTTACTTAAATTTACCTACAATAGTTTAATAAGTAAGTATTCATTATTTTATCAAGAAAAATAAAGCAGTATCTGCTGGCGGAATGAACAGATATGTTACTAGTTACTAGTGATATTATTATGTGAGGAAAATTGCTTCTTGGCCTCAAGGGCTTATGCTCAAAGATATCCAAATAGGAATCTTCCTGATAAGTGTTTCTTTGAAAAACTTCTCCTATTTCGCAGAGCTGGTAGTGTGGTTTATAAAAAACTATTAGGCAAAAACCTGTCATTGGAAGTGAATAAAATGAATTTGCCGTAATTGGCTATTTTATAGAAAATCCATATATATACAAGTCATCGTAAAATAATTCAAAGAACTACTTCTTCGTTTTTCTTAATAGAATAATATACACATATTTAATAAATATTATTTATTAAACTATTGTAGGTAAATTAAATAAAAGTAAACTGGTATAAATTTAAGTCCATAAACTAATTTCGATTTTGAAAATAGCTACTAACTGTCAATAGAAACTTGCCATGACAACACTAGCCATCTTGATTACAATTTTATTGAAAAATCGATTTTTATTCAAAATCTGAGCCAGATAGGTATAGGAAACCCTAATATAGTTTAAAAGAGCATTTAAATCTGCTTCGACTTATTTAAAAAAATACATAGCGTTGCATTTGTAATAACGAAGTTTTTATGTAAAATAAATACATATTTAAAATAGACCAGCAAGTTTTGATACCCCTGTATACATTTAAAGAAGGAATAACATTTTTCTGTAAAGTTTATTTGTCTGCCTTTAAACTCAGCACAAGAACTAATTCTGAAAAGTAATGTACAGGGTGTTAATAATCTATTCTATTGTAGCATGCAAATTAAATATCTCAAAAACCCAAAAAAAAAAGAATTTTTTGGACCCAAGAATCCAAAAATGAAATAAAATACCGGGTGTTCCATAAAAAAATATAACTTTAGTATGGATCTTAATTCTGAAACACCCTGTATATTTCAAAATAATTTTAAATTGTGCACATTGCCTCTCTACATATACCCATAAAATATTTTGTTTCTACATCTTTTCGTTTTCGTATAATCAACCAATGCAAATGAGGTGCGCTACGCTGTATACAGGTGAATTCAAAACTACACTGATATCCAGAAAAAAAATTAGTGAATATGGACAATTTCTAATAAATTAACATAAATCCTAATGATAATTCCTCTATATTTCCTCATTTAACTTAAGTCGAAACTTAAGTGGCACCAATATCAAAAAGATTCACCACCACAAAGAAAACAATAAATCAAAAGTACCAAAATACTTTTCTAAGGCTTAGTTAAAAATGTTCCAGAATATTTTACTTCATCATAAATATTTTAACCAAGATAATAATCATTTTTAAATATTCGTTTCAAAGAGAAAAATCTTTAACCAGAATGAACTAATAATTTGCATCGTATTTTAGACACCTGAAAATAGCCTTTAAATAGTTAATACATAAGGGTGATGTTAGAATGTCAGATTTCATTAGGATTTCATGTACCGATGGTTACATAATCAGGGATGTCAAACTATTACATTATAAGTCGACTGGCTACGTAATGAATAAGGTGTGGTAATACCATAGATGAATGAGAAGGAAGGCGCTACAACTGTGGTAGAAACGGGACCAGTCAGCCATTTTAGTGGTAGTTTTGTGTCATTATTACTATCACTGGCTAACTAATGAATAGGCTGTGATTACAATCAATTTCCAAAATAGTTTTCATAAATTTTATTGTAACAAACCTTTTGGAAAAGAATCTATGAGCCGCCACTCTAATACCCTTAAAAATCTTAAATTTTGGTCAGCCAAGCTATTTTTACGACTGCATAACCGAAATGACAAATGATGAATATGGTGATGATAAAGGGTGTGCATTGTGAGTCCGGTTCTTCAGCGGATGTTAACCACAGGAAATAAACTCATAGGGAAGCTAAAAAATAAGGTGCGTACAGACTTGACGAAAGGCGCGCGAGACGAGCGCGAGACATTCCAAATTGTGGATGGGTCTTGCGAACCAACCCACGATTCTTGTTGCTATCCGTCCTCTGTCGTCATCTGCGAGACAGCGAGATGTCAGTGCATGCTATACATAGCTTTTTTGGCTCGTGGCAGACGTGTCTCAAAAAATGGATCGAAGCAGTTTCGCAATGGTCTCGCGCTCGTCGCTCTCTCGTCAAAGGCTTTCCTCGCGCGCGTCTCGTGAGGTGTGTACGCACCTTAAGAAAAACCACTGGTCTTTTTAAAAATAAAATTTACAGGGTTTACATTTTCGTGTTTTACAAGGTTGCTGTGCTACTTTTTTATAAAAATAAGTAGAGGGTATAATAAATTTTTAGAAAGCTCATAATATCATAAGAAAGCTCATATACAGGGTCGCTGATATGTATGGGAACGGTCGATTATTAGGTAAAATATACAAGGTATCGCAAAAAGTTAAATAAAAAAGTTATAGGGCTTTTAAATGTCTATTAGCGATCAATAGATTTAAGTATACATGGTGGGTCATAAAGTCGTAGAACATCAAAGTTTATTTATTTCTAAATGGAACTCCTTGTATATTATTGCATATTTCAATTGTTCCTGCTAGGTTTCATTTAACGATACCATTCTGCGGAACCTGTGATAATAATGTTTGACATTAGTTTTCAAGTTAGCATTTATAGATTTATAAAATGAGATTATATCAAGTCTTGAAATTACAAAATTTTCGTTTAATATTTCATATACAAAACTTCATAATTCGGAAATGGTTGAATTTAGGTACATTACGTGTCCTACGATTATTGCTTAAAATTAAGGAAGAATTGAAATATGCAATAATATACAGGGGGTTGCATTAAAAAATAAATTCTGATGTGCCACAACTTTAGGACCAACCCTGTATATTTAAATTTACTACTAGCTACTAGACGTTTAAAAATCCTATAACTTTTATATTTAACTCTTTGCAGTACCTTGTATATTTTGCCTAATAATCGACCGTTCCAACACATATCAGCGACCCTCTATAAACAGAGTGTCCCAATTTAAAACAAATAAGTTTGACTTATACTTCGAAAATGACAGCACCCAGCAAAAAAAAACAGTTACGCCACTGGATTCTACGTGAAAAACTCTACGGAACCCTGTCTTCACCTTTTCAGTAACTTGTGAAACGAGTTAAAAAAAAGAAAAATATCAAATTCGCCCGTATCTCAAGAACTAAGAGGGCTCGGACAACCTATATGTAGCACCTTTAGTTTCATAATAAAGTAGCAAACTAATGTGGAAACCGCATCTTTGTATCTCTACTCATAAACGAGAAAGCCAATAACGAAAATGGGACACCCTGTACAGTGTGTCCCATTTTGGTTGAAATCATAGGGTATCTCCGTTATTACTGAAGATAGAAGGGTGCGGTTTGCACAAACCTGTCCCACTTTTTCGTCAAACGGAAGATGCTGCAAACAAAATTTTCATAGTCCTCTTAGTTTCTGAGCTACAGGGTCTTTTCGAAAATTTTGCAATTTGGGACACCCCCTGTATCTCTGTTATTGTTAAAGGTATCGAGAAGGCGAAAACTGCCTATTGTAGAACTTTTTACGTGGAATACAGTGGCGTAGTCTGTTTTTTTACCAAAAAAATATTTTTGAAAATATGAACTAAAGTTATGTTTTTTCAAATGGAACACCCTGTATATTTATAAATCATATGATCTGTCTTGCTATGAGCTTCTCAAAAATATATATCACTCTATATTTATTTTTACTATTTACTGCAATATTTAAAATATATCATTTTCTTATTAGTAGGCCGTGATAAATAACAAAAAATCAAAATGGTATTTACTAAAATAGTCATACACATATTAAAATTAATTTGGGATTGATATATTTTACTTTTGAAATAACTGTTACCACTGAAACTGTGTGAATATATTTTTCTTTTTTTTTATAACGGAATGAGTTTGCAAATATCTAAAAGCTTGAATTATTAAAGCATTTTTCAGGTGTTCGACATTGTTGTAGGTTGTAGTGTCCACGATATATTTCGTATTTCAAAAATCCCCAAAATCAGAAATCGAGAACGGCGAAATCCGGGAATCGAGGAGGCTATCAATATGTGTTCATTGGTTCCAATTCATTGATTTGAAAAATAATAATTTAACAGTATTCTACTATTTTCATAGTTATGAGGGGGAATGTTTCCGATACGATAGATTATTCGTACGTATACACGTATTCCAAGATTTACAAATAGCGGTAGGGAGTTAAGTTTCCTTAATACATAAAGAATTTATTAGCGGCTCCTAAAATAAAACAAGAGACAAATAGCAGTATACTTTTAATAATTCTTTAGTTTCTTTTATTATCAATCATGGCCTACTAATAAATATGATCTTTTAATAAAAACTTTTAAATATTGCAGTAAATAGTGAAAATAAATATAGAGTGATATATATTGTTGAGAAACTTATGGCAAGACAGATCATATGATTTATAAATATACAGGGTGTTCCATTTAAAAAAACATAACTTTAGTTCATATTTTCAAAAATATTTTTTTGGTAGAAAACCAGACTACGCCACTGTATTCTACGTAAAAAGTTCTGGAATAAACAGTTTTCACCTTCTCGATAGCTTTAACAATAACAGAGATACAGGGGGTGTCCCAAATTGCAAAACTTTCAAAAAGACCCTGTAGCTCGGAAACGAAGAGGGCTATGAAAATTTTGTTTACGGCATCTTCCGTTTGACAAAAAAGTGAGACAGGTTTGTGCAAACCGCACCCTTCTATCTTCACTAATAACGGAGATACCGTATGATTTCAACTAAAATGGGACACCCTGTACACAATCAAATGTGTGTAGTTTTTTAAACGCGTTTAAAATTGATCAATTCGATATGTCACCCAGGTATTTTAGTCTTGTTTATATAGAATGCACTAAAACCAATACATTTGAAGAACAGTGGAGGGGAGGTGGATAGACTAAACAAATTAAAAAAAAAAACAAGAAACAGGCAAGGCTGTGGCTGCTGCGATGTGTGAACGAAGCCTTACCGGCTCTGTCACTCTTCAGATACATCCGGCCCATGGGACTCAGGTTGCTCCTGTATTCGCACACACCATTTTCTGTACGGGGCGTACACATAAATAAATAAAAAACCTTGTCTAAATCTATAAGTGCGACGTATGGCCTTGAACTTATTTTATATGTATCATAGTTTGAAAGATTTTAAAATTCAAATTCAAGATCACAGGTCGCTAACGTTAAAATACAAAATTAATAATGTAGAAAATTAAATTATTCTATATTTTTTTGGTGTATTGTGATAAATTAAGCCTAAGATTCAGAACCTCAAAATTAATGGAATAAATTAGTGGTTTCAATTATACCCTATACCCTTCCTATACTTATGAATTTATGATCATTCACAATGTCTAAAGTACACAATTGAAATTAATAGAATATCCTAGCAACAGGTTAAAAAAATAACAAACCTTATTTTTGTATTATGTTGTTTCATACATGATTTCTTAAGCTTCGTTCAGAACCTCGCAATTAGCGGAATAAATTAGTGGTTTCAATTAGCGTAGTATACTTATATATAGTATACAGGGTTGTTCACCACATACGACACGGAGTATTGTAGCTAAACGATTATATTTTTACAAATTTCAAGTTTTGGGTTCGATGTAGGACTATTAGAGGTACAATTTAAAAATAATTTTACAAGATACAGAGTGTCCCAAATAAGTAAAAAATATCTAAGTTGTATTTTTTTAAATGGAACACCCTGTATATTATTACATTTTTAGTTTCTACGACTAAAATAAAGGTAAATTTGATTAAGGTTTATGATACTTAAACCTTACCGTTTTTGAAATATTTTCAATTTTATGAAATTGCAGTAAAAATTTTAAGGCTTCGTTTCTCCAAGGGTATCAAAGTTTTTAATACTAAATATTTACTGAAGTTTATTTATTGATCAGTTATTGTGTTGCAATAATAAAAATAATACTACCTTATACAGAGTGTCTAAAAATTTATTTTAAATAATTTCTAGCTTTAAACGCCAATAACTTCTTTAATTTAAATAGAATGCCCTGTATATTTTAGGAGAATCAGATGCACAATTTAATTGTCTATCAAATTGTATCATACCATTTTTTACCTATCAGTAAAAAATGGTATAATACAATTTGATAGACAATTAATTGTAATATTATCGTTTTTAGCAAAACGATAATATTACTAGCCCATTTGTATGCAAAAAAAACTACCGTATGATCGAATAAAAACGGCGTCCAGTTGGCTGGGAAATGACGATCGATGACATTTCCCATATAAATTCACATACAAAATGACAGCGATCTTCATTTCATAGCCATCGCTGACGCCGTTTTTTCTCGATCATACGGTATTTAAATCTTTATAAGAGTATACCGTTAATTAAATATAACACCATTATTTCCGCCCATATACTAATTAATTACATACTTAATTGTGTTCGTTAATAAATTATTCTAAATAAATGTGGATTTGAGTCAGAAATCAATATAATAATAAGTTATCACAATTAAAGTCTCTGTTGTTATAAATAAGCATTTATTAAAAAATGAAATATCATTTTTAAGGTGTTACTTTTTATCACACTGTCTAATACCCATACAAAATTCAGTTTTTTAGTATTTGGAGCAATTATTATTAATCAACGCAAACAGTCAGTTCATGTAGTTTGAATACTGGAATCATATTAATTGGTCCTCTTTAACAAATATTTAAACAGTTTTTTTTAATTTTTTTAATGAAATAAACGAATTATATCGACAATATTAGTATCTGTACTCTTTAAAAATTTGGTACATCTTTAAGAACAATCTCAAATGTCAATATTCCACGGGTATAGTGATAAATGAGGTCTAAATTATAAGAAAATGCATTTTCTACGAAAACTTGAAGGGATAGGTAAAAAATGGTATAACACAATTTGATAGACAATTAAATTGTGCATCTGATTCTTCTAAAATATACAGGGCGTTCCATTTAAATTAAACAAGTTATTGCCGTTTGAAGCTAATAATTATTTAAAATAAATTTTTAGACACTCTGTATAAGGTAGTATTATTTTTATTATTGCAACACAATAACTGATCAATAAATAAACTTCAGTAAATATTTAGTATTAAAAACTTTGATACCCTTGGAGAAACGAAGCCTTAAAATTTTTACTGCAATTTCATAAAATTGAAAATATTTCAAAAACGGTAAGGTTTAAGTATCATAAACCTTAATCAAATTTACCTTTATTTTAATCGTAGAAACTAAAAATGTAATAATATACAGGGTGTTCCATTTAAAAAAATACAACTTAGATATTTTTTACTTATTTGGGACACTCTGTATCATGTAAAATTATTTTTAAATTGTACTTCTAATAGTCCTTCATCGAACCCAAAACTTATAATTTGTAAAGATCTCATCGTTTAGCTACAATACTCCGTGTCGTATGTGGTGAACAACCCTGTATATAGTATATAGTATTGTTTCTCTAATTTCAATGTAAGCATTCAGAACGTCTAAATTAGTGGTAGGCATTTTCAATTAGTAGGAAAAGTTAACGAACTTTTGACTTCTCCACTAATTATACTTCCAAATGTGTGATAAATGTCATTTTGGCCTTTGATTATCATCCATCAAGAGAAATTGTGGTTAGGAATCAAAAGTTTAGTGTTTTATAAGTAAATATTAGGCTTTCTCTATGGATACCGCTTACTGCAGCAAGCTGTTGCTAGGATATTCTATTAATTTTAATTGTGTTTTTTAGACATTGTGAATGATCGTAAACTAAAAAATATAAAGCGTAATTGAAACCACTAATTTATTCCACTAATTACGCGGTTCTGAATGATGCTTTAGTCTTTTGTAAAGTAAAAACTTTGCGTTTGTAAAGTTACTCACCCTGTATACTAAGGGCTGGCAAAGATTAGTCTTGGGTCGAGATTTCCGTATGTAAGAAGAGTACAATGCGTTTATAATGTACTGAACAAAGAGAGGACATAAACACGTTGCCAAACGTATGAAATAAACCGAGAAACTGTGCACATCGCTAAGAGACGTGGAAGAGGAAATAGCAGATTTGTCGCAGTTGACCGGTCGACCCAATCAATACCTCTGTCAGTACTTAAAGTTCTAGAGAAAGGTGTACGTCATGCGTTCAGCTTCACGATTTAATTACGTCTCGTGATACTTAATTTGTTTATTTATTAACGAGTCCTTGTAATTTTCCCTATAGCTTGATTTTTTTTTAAGTACAAGCTAGAAACACTTGCATTTTTGGTAAAAATAAGTGGTATTGAGTGGGTGTTCGATAGTGGTCGCGCTATAGGAACTCTGAATTCAAAAATCGATATCTCGAAATCTATTAGAAATAATAGATAGTAGTTTTTTCAAGACCTTGTTAATATTTCTGCCGTATTTTCTTTGTAGACAATATGTGAAAATCTTTATCAATAAAAACATTACACGATTGCTGAAATAGCCTATGCTCTAATAGTAAATGGATGGATTGTTTACAATTTTTGAATGGAAAAAACAACCTTATCGAATTTTTCTTTTGTAAACATACTGTAAAATATCCGATCTTGAAAATAAAAAAAAGTTTCAATATCTAAAGTGGTTCTTGAGTTATGGCCTGTTATGTGTTAAAAAGTTGAGTTATTAAATTATCACGATTACTGACGTTTTCTCTTTATAAAAAAATGACACCCTAACGATATCCTTATAATTCCATTTCAGATGCTCAGAAACATGTTTAATGATTTTATCTAGATATCTCTTGAAAAAAAAGTCTTTTAAAAAATAAGCGGTTTGCGATCGTGATTTTACTTTACTTGATAGGGAAAGGCGTATCGGCAACGCTGCAACAGCACACCGTCGCGCGTCGCGTCGGTCTGTCGCATTTCTCTCACTCCGACTTAATAAGATCCCTATACGATTTACTTCCACACATGTAAATGCCGACCCAAAAGTTAACAGTTGCCAGCACGGTATACTAAGCAATATAGCCACTATTATACAATACTTTCTACTTTCAAATATCAGTAATTAATAATTTGCAGTTCTACAATCTTGAGGATGCTTATAAATGTTTGGTTTTAGAAACTATTTAATTTAAAAATGGTGATATTTCAAAAACCATTATTATTATATTATTTTACAGTAAATTACACTAAGATAAAAGATACACCATTCCATTTCTTGTAAATACAACTTTAGTGTGCAAATATGTATACAGGGTGGCGCACCTCATTCGCCCCGGTTGATTATACGAAAACGAAAAGATGTAAAAACTAATTTTTTTATGGGTTTGTGTAAAGAGGCAATGTGCATTATTTAAAATTATTTTCAAATGTACAGGGTGTGTCAGAACTAAGATCCATACCAAAGTTATATTTTTTCTTATGGAACACAAGGTATTTTATTTCATTTTTGCATTCTTGGACCCAAAAAAGGCATTTATTATAAGAGTTAAATATGTTTAAAATCTTTGGTTTATTAGATATTTAAAGATATTTAAATATGCATGCTACAATAGAATAGAATATTAACACCCTGTACATTACTTTTCAGAATTAGTTCTTGTGCTGAGTTTAAAGATAGGGAAATACACTTTACTGAAAAATGTTATTGCTTCCTTAAATTTATACAGGGGTACCAAAAATTGCTGTTCTATTTTAAGGATTTATTTTATATAAAAACTTCGTTGTTTCAAATGGAACACCCTGTATTTTTTAAATAAATCGAAGCAGATTCAAATGCCCTTTCAAACTATATTAGTGTTTCCTATAATACCTAACTAGCTCAGATTTTGAATAAAAAGCGATTTTTCAATGATGGCTGGTGTCGCTATGGCAATTTTCTAGTGACAGTTAGTAACTATTTACAAAATCGACATTAGTTTATGGACATTATTATTTAGATTTATAACAGTTTACTTAAATTTACCAACAATAACCTAACATTTTGCGCTGGATGTATACCATGATAGTAAGACCCATGATTACTTATGGAGCAGTTGCTTGGTATACAAAACTAGAGCAACGTACAGCAAGGCAAAACCTGTGCAAAG